GAGCCTTCGGTGGAGTTCCCTACGGGGCCACGAAATTTTGGATTGGGTGGGTGAAAATGCCACAACGGGTGTTCCGGGACGCTTGCGGACGGTCCCTATGGGGCCTTCGGTGGAGCTCCTTGTGGGGCCACGAAGCGCTGCACTGGGTGGGTGAGAATGCCACATTGGGTGTGCGGGACGCATGCGGACGGTGGCACTGGGGCCTTCGGTGGAGCTCCCTGTGGGGCCACGAAACGCTGTAATGGGTGGGTGGCAATGCCAAATCGGGTGTTTCAGGAGGCACTCGGACGGTCCCACTGGGGGCTTCGGTGGAGCTCCTTATGTGGCAACGAAACGCTGTATTGAGTGGGGGGGACGCATGTGGACGGTAGCACTGTAACCTTCGGTGGGGCTCCCTATGGGGCCACGAAGTGCTGTACTGAGTGGGGGGGCGCATGTGGACGGTGGCACTGGGGCCTTCGGTGGAGCTCCCTATTGGGCCACGAAATGCTTTACTGAGTGGGGGGGACGCATGTGGACGGTGGCACTGGGGCCGTCGGTGGAGCTCCCTATGGGGCCATGAAACGCTGTACTGAGTGGGAGGGGCGCATGTGGACGGTGGCACTGGGGGCTTCGGTGGAGCTCCCTATGGGGCCACGAAACGCTGTACTGAGTGGGGGGGACGCATGTGGACGGGGGGCCTTCGGGAGCTCCCTATTGGACCACGAAGCGCTGTACTGAGGAGGGGGGCGCATGTGGACGGTGGCACTGGGGCCTTCGGTGGAGCTCCCTATTGGGCCACGAAATGCTTTACTGAGTGGGGGGGACGCATGTGGACGGTGGCACTGGGGCCTCGGTGGAGCTCCCTATGGGGCCATGGAAACGCTGTACTGAGTCACGATATGGGGCCACGAAGCTGAGTGGGGGGACGCATGTGGACGGTGGCACCGGGGTCCTTCGGTGGAGCTCCCTATGGGGCCACGAAACGCTGTACTGAGTGGGGGGGGCGCATGTGGACGGTGGCACTGGGGCCTTCGGTGGAGCTCCCTATGGGGCCCCGAAACGCTGTACTGAGTGGGGGGACGCATGTGGACGGTAGCACTGGGGCCTTCGATGGAGTTCCCTACGGGACCACGAAACGCTGTACTGACTGGGGGGGACGCATGTGGACGGTGGCACTGGGGCCTTCGGTGGAGCTCCCTATGGGGCCACGAAGCGCTGTACTGAGTGGGGGGGACGCATGTGGACGGTGGCACTGGGGCCTTCGGTGGAGCTCCCTATTGGGCCACGAAACGTGTGAGGGGTGTGCCGAAGTGGGTGCGGGGGACGCATGTGGACGGTAGCATTGGGGCCGTCGGTGGAGCTCCCTATGGGGCCACGAAGCGCTGTACTGGGTGGGTGAGACGCAGGGAGGAGGAGGAGGAGGAGAGGAGGAGAGGAGGAGGAATGCGGGGACCGCTTCTTCAAAACGAGGACCCAACACCACAGGATGGTTTGGAAAACATGGCACGCCCGAGAAAATCGCCGCCGCGGACAGAGGCGTTCCCCATCCTCCGATCTTTTCAAGCTGGATATGGCAAAGTCCTGGTTCGCAGCATCCTGGTTCAAGCGGAAAATGAAAGGCAAGACCGAAGGCAGTGCAATTTTATGGAGACCCGTGCAGAAGCAGCGCAGTACAGAAGAAGAACGCAGAGCAATGCAGCAAAGTGGCCTGCGACGGGAAGTGGCACAACAGAAACGCAGTTCGACGCATTGTGACGCTGTGCTAGGTAAGGCAATGCACGCGCAATGCAGTGTAGTGGTATACGCCAGCAATATAAGCGCAATGCAATCATGTATACAACGCAATGCATGACACACTGTGATGCAAGAGTACGTACTGCCATCGACATCCTTACAAAAGCAGTGGCATGCGAAATGCAGCAAAGAGCGACGCACAAACAATGCAACCCCATCGCAATATAGTGCAATAGTAGTGCGAGAGCAACGAAGAGCTAAGCAAAACCAAGGCATAACAAACTGCGCGAAGCAGCGTACACGCAGTACGAAGGCAGAGCAAGATACATAGAAAAGCCATGATTGTATATGATATGTGTCATGCCTGACAGCGTGGCATGGTGTGACATGCCCTGGAAGGCTTGGATACAACAAGCTTACATCGAATGTGTGTATACATATGGCGGGGGATTCAGGAATGCGCCCAGGAGGCTTCAGACCCTGGAGGATTCCTTGCTTGATGAGGGCAGCGGTGATATCAATGGCCAAGCCTCAAGCGATGTTCCAGAAGCTTCCAGACCCTGGATTCCTTCTCTCAGGGTTCCTTATCGAATGCCGCCACCCTGTGTATACTGGTAGATAACCGCGGTATCGTTCTAGCTTTGCGCGGGCACGTTGACGAAAGGCCGTGGTCCGACCCTGTTGCACACAAACTGCTCGGCGTTTGCTTGCACCTTTCTTCTCCGTACTTGTGCGGGCTCAAGGTTTTGAACGTGCCTCCGGCGCGTAACAGAGGGCATCGGATCTGTCGTTGACCTTCTTGCGCCCGGCGATCCCGGGGTGCCCCAACCTGCAGTGCCTGGCGTGCCGCGCCACGCCCTGCCCGCCGGGGGCGGGCTGCCCTGCGTGTGAGGCGGCAGGCAAGTGCTCGTCTTTCGGGGCGGGCGGGGCGACGGGCTTCCCGTTGAGGCTCCGGCTCGGGCTGGCGGTGGCGAGTGCGAGCTGGACGGCGGCGCTGCGCGCGAAGCTGGCAACTGTGCGGAGGCAGCCGCAGGCGACGGTCGGCGCCGATGACGGTGCCGGGGCAGGAAGCGGCCTGGGTGAGAAGCAACGCAGCTCGGCCCCGCGTGTGGCATCTGACATTGATCCTGGCGCCCCTGCCGTCCTTCCAGGGCGAGTTCGTCTCCCTGGCACCAGGCGGGACGTCTACATCGGGGACTTCGAGGCGTTCCGGAGATCGGACATCGCCGAAGTCGCGCGGGAGACAGAGGCAGGGCGGACACCGATTAAGGTCGAAGACGACTGGACCTACAGCTTCGGGGCGTTCCCACGCGGGGGTCAGCTGTCGGGCCCGATGGAGCAGGCGGCTGACATCGCCGCAGGCGAGGAGCGGCGACGCGGGGGAACGGTGGCACCCCTTCCGAACCTGGGAGGTGGCGGCGGCGCTGGCGGCCCGCGGGGCTTTCGGGCGGCGGGGGGCTACCCTCCCTCGCCGCCGGTGGAGCCCGCGCCCGACGAGGTCTTGCGAGGAGGCACGACGGCCCCGCGGGGTGGCGGGCGCGCGGCCCGAGGACCTTCGGCGCCCGAGGGGTGCTGGGTGGACGCGGCCGGGGGCGGCGCTCTGGGGTTCGCTGTGGGCGGCAAGGTCCGCGTGACGGTGGCCTTGTTGATGGCCCCTGCGGGACCTGGCCCCGGCTCCGCAGTCTGGCGAATGGGTCTTCGTGGAGCGGCTCGGCCCCGACCAGACGCCCAAGGAGCGCGCCGCTGCACTAGTGCCTCCGCCTGCGCGCTCCGACGCCCGCGCGCTGAGCGAGCAGTTCAACGGGCAAGGGATCAGGCAGCGCCGGTGGCGCGGCGCGGTGCTCGAGATCCAGCAGGCGGAGTTCAAGGACTAGCCCATGCTTGGGCCAGGCACAGTGTTCTGGCGCGCGCAGTTCGTGGAGCACGAGCACGGGATGCGGGCCTTCCAGTTCTTCAGAGAGCATGGCCAGGCGGACCTCCCGGACTGGGGAGGGCTGGAGGTGGCCTTGCAAGGCTGCCAGGTCATCGAGTTCATTGCGAGAAGAGGAGCAAGGGCGGAAAGCAGAGCGACCATACCCAAAGGGCCGGCAGGGAGGATGCATGCGGCCGACTCCACAGGCACGCGCCGCACGACGGAGGAGATGATGAGCTGCCTCAACCTGGCGGAGCGTGCACCGAAGGAATTTCGGCCGCGGCGTCGACGTGGCGGAGCAGATGAGGGAAGCGCGGGAGGACGCCAGACTCTCGCGCAAAGATGACGCGTGATAAGCCAGGGTCAGAGGACGACCCCGCCCTGCTGGCAATCATAAGAGAGGGGGAGCGCGGCGGATCTCAGCCCCGCGCGGCTTTTGCTGCCCAGCGTGACGCGCTGCATCTGGCTGCGCCCGATCGAGTGCCTCGCGACGGGGGCCTGCCCTCACTGTCGCGGTCAGTCCGGCGGCGAGTGGAGGCGACGGGGCACCGCTCAAGTTGGGAGTTTGGCGCGGCTCGAGCGCTCAACGAGCTCGGAGGCTATGCAGACGCAGCCGCTGGCGAGACCTCGCCAGCAAAATTCAGGCCTCTCGTGCATGATCTTGGCGAGTCGCACGTTCGCATGTGTGTCTCGCGGTTGGGGAAGCCCCCGGCTAACCTCGCTGGTCGGGGAGCCTTCCGAGAGCTGCAGGCCTCCCACAGTTACCAGGAGGCCCCCGCGGGTGCGGCGGCCCTGGACATTGATCGTCTCAGCCCCCACTCCGCCCGGGGCCCCTCGGGACTTGGAGGGTCTCGTTGCGAACGGTCGTGTTGAAGTCCAGGGGTTCGTGGAAGACTACCTCTTGTCATAAGGATTCAGCAGGCGAGCGTTTGAGTTCGGCAGGCGTTCCTGAGCGCCCTTTTCTCGACCCTCTCCTCCATCGCCCTCACGCGCATGAGCGTCTCGTCCGGTCCGGAGCTTAACGTGGGGTGCTTGAGTTTTGCTTGGAAGTCCAAAATCAGTGCGTTTTTTTTTGTCGGCTTGGAAGAAAAACAAACTCAGCGTTTCATAATTGACGCACGTCGGTCGAATTTCGTGCTCCTCCTCCTTATCCTCCTTATTCTCCTTCGCCTCCTCCTCCTCCCTTTCCTCCCTTTCCTCCCTTTCCTCCTCCCCCTCCCCCTCCTCCTCCTCCCTCCTCCTCCTCCTCCTCCTCCTCCTCCTCCTCCTCCTCCTCCTCCTCCTCCTCCTCCTCCGCCTCCTCCTCCTCCTCCTCCTCCTCCTCCTCCTTGGCTTCCTGATCGAAGGGTTTCCTATCCAACGCCCTCACCGCAGACATTTTGCCCCGAGCGCCCGCCGCGCCGCCACGCGGCGGGGGGGGGTCCTGCCCCTCTCCCCGCCCCCCCTGGCCCGGGTGCTGCTGGAGGTGATCATGGCCCAGAGTGTTCCCTGCCTCTCGCGCCTCTTTGGAGCCCCCCCAGGGGGCTTGTGGGCCTCGTGACGGTTGCTCTGCAGGCCATCGTCGTCGTCACCCCTCGTCCTTCGTCCGGCACCCGTCGTTTTCGTTGTTGTCGTCGTCAACTTCGTCGTCGTCGTCGTCACCGTCGTCGTCGTCCGTCGTGCGGCGCCCGTCGTCGTCGTCGTCGTCGTGCGACGTCCGTCCTCGTCGTCGTCGCTGCCGCCGTCGCCGTCGTCGTCGTCGTCGTCGTCGTGGTGGGGGGGGCCCCCTCGAAATCCTGAGGGCACCTTCCCTGATACCCGACGTTGCGAAATTCATTGCAACGCGAAAGATCGCGACCAGAGCCCTACAGACCCCATCTTGCTGCGACCTTTACGGCCACGTCGATCTGGGAGGGCCCTGGAGCCCGAAACCGGGCGGCAACGCCCAGCGTGCACAGGTTGCCACGCCCGAGGCGGGGGCTGGGCCATAGGGCCGCTTGCGGCAACACCCCACCAGCGCGGCCGATGCTGCGGCCTTCCGCTCCGGCCGGGCTCCCCGCCGCGGGCGCGGCCCGGGCGCAGCACGAGCGGCCGGCGGGCGCGGAGGCGGCGCCCGACAGTCCCGCCGCCGGAGACGAGTGCTCGCGGTCCTACCGGCTGTCGCCCACGACGCCCGTGCGCCGGGAGGACGCTTAAGTCGGGCATTCGGGAGCCTTTACACGGGGGGTCAATGTAAACGGGGGTCAGCCAGGGCGCCAGATCTTGCAGGATCCTGCAGGGCCAGGGTCGCATTGACCCGGGGTTGGGTGCAGGATCCTGCAGGATCCTGCAGGATGCTGCATGGCCAGGGTCGCATTGACCCGGGCTAGGATCCTGCAGGATCTTGCAAGGCCTGACTGACCCGGGTTTGGATTGACCCGGGTCAGCAGATCCTCGAGGCGTGTCCCTCTGCAGGAGAAAGATTCCAAAGTGGTCCCAAAAATAGTCTGGGGACTTTTCTTCTGACTACTGATTGTTTTTGGCGCATGATTTGAGCATGTTTGGGTTATTGTAGTGGCCTCCGGCCAGTGCCGCCGATCTGGGGCGCTCTGGATGATGATGATGATGATGATGATGATGATGATGATGATGATGATGATGATGATGATGATGATGCTGATGATGACGATGACGATGACGATGACGACGACGATGCTGCTGCTGCTGATGATGATGATGATGATGATGATGGTGATGATGATGACGACGACGATGATGATGATGGTGGTGATGATGATGGTGATGTGACGATGGTGATGGTGATGGTGATGGAGATAGTGATGATCCCGGCCCTCTCCACCCACCTCCCCTCCTCTCTCCTGTCCCCCCTCCCGCTTTCTCTTGTCCCCCCCCCCTCTCCTTCCCCCCCCCTTCCTTTCCTGTCCCCCCCCATGATTGGGTTACTTTTGAAGTTTCGTCCAAGATCCGCCTAGGGGGACATGCCCGAAGGTAGGCGGAGGAAGTGAGGAGGAGGAGGAGGAGGAGGAGGAGATTGGCGCATGATTTGAGCATGTCTAGGTGATTTCTGAAGCCTCGTCCAAAATCCGCCGAGGGGGACATGTGGGGACGATTCTTCTGACCACTGCTTCTTCATTGGCGCATGATTTGAGCATGCTTGGGTCATTTCTGACGCTTCGCCCAAAATCCGCCTGTGTGGGACGTCGCCCGACCTCACGAGGACGCCGCCGGCGCCTCGGTCGCGGGCTCGCCCCCCGGGGCGCGGGCGTGGAGCACGGAGGGCATGGCGCGGGACCCAGCGGCGTTCCTGATGCAGGCCGCTCCTTCTCCTCCTCCTCCTCCTCCTCCTCCTCCTCCTCCTCCTCCGCTCCTCTCCTCCTCCTCCTCCTGCTCCGCCTTCTCCTCCTCCTCCTCCTCCTCCTCCTCCTCCTCCTGCTCCTGCTCCTCCCTCCTCCTCCTCCTCCTCCTCCTCCTCCTCCTCCTCCTCCTCCTCTCCTCCTCCTCCTCCTCCTCCTCCTCCTCCTCCTCCTCCTCCTCCTCCTCCTCCTCCTCCTCCTCCTCCTCCTCCTCCTCCTCCTCCTCCTCCTCCCTCCTCCTCCTCCTCCTCCTGCCTCCCTCCTGCTCCTCCTCCTCCTCCTCATCATCATCATCATCATCATCAGCAGCATCAGCATCATCAGCAGCATCCTCATCCCTCCTCCTCCTCCTCCTCCTCCTCCTCCTCCTCCTCCTCCTCCTCATCATCATCATCATCATCATCATCATCATCATCATCATCACCATCACCATCATCATCATCATCATCATCATCATCCATCATCATCATCATCGTCCATCATCATCATCATCATCAGCATCATCATCATCATCATCATCATCATCATCATCATCATCATCATCATCGTCATCATCATCATCATCCTGCTCCTCCTCTTCCTCCTCCTCCTCCTTCTCCTGCTCCTCCTCCTCCTCATCATCATCAGCATCATCAGCATCATCATCATCATCATCAGCATCATCATCCTCATCATCATCATCATCATCATCATCATCATCATCGTCATCGTCATCGTCATCATCATCAGCATCATCATCATCCTGCTCCTCGTGCTCATCCTCCTCCTGCTCCTCCTCCTCCTCCTCCTGCTCCTCATCATTATCAGCATCAACATCAGCATCAGCATCAGCATTATCATCCTCATCATCATCATCAGCAGCAGCATCAGCATCAGCATCATCATCATCAGCATCAGCATCATCATCATCATCATCATCATCATCATCATCATCGTCATCATCGTCATCATCGTCATCATCATCAGCATCAGCATCAGCATCAGCATCAGCATCATCATCATCATCATCATCATCATCATCATCATCATCATCATCATCATGCTGATCGTGTTCCTCCTCCTCCTGCTCCTGCTCCTCCTGCTCGTCCTCATCCCCCTCCTCCTTCTCCTCCTCCTCCTCCTCCTCTTTATGATGTTCCAACCTACTTTAGCCTTGACCGCCAGGAAGAATTCCGAGCACCAAGAAAGTGCCGAAGTTGGAGGGTTTTCTCGTGTCGGGCCTTGGAGGCGATGCTCGTGTGACACTGTTTCGATACCTGGCTGGGTGCTCGGAATTGTTTTTGGGATGTGGTCCTTCAGTGCGATGGGAGCAACACAATGCAGGCCCTGGACCCCTTCCTGCAGCCTTCCAGTCGGGTGTTGCCAGGAGTGCCCTTGGCTCGAGGTTCTATAGGCCTCCCAGATGGGGTCTGAGGTTCGATGTGGACGGAGGATCGCGCCGCACCGCCGATGCAGCGGCGATGCATCGGCGATGTGGCTCGATGTGGAGCCCGACTTTCTCCATGCTGGCGTCGCCGGTGCATCGCCGACGTCGCCGATGCATCGTCGATGCATCGGCTATTTATCGGAGACGTATCGGCGATGCGGCGCGATCCTACGACCCCATCTACTCGGACCCCGTCTTGGAGGCCTCTGAAGGTATTCCCAGCCTTCCGCTGCATGTCGGAGCCCCGTGGGGCCCTCTGGGCCTCGTGAGGGGTGCTCTGGGGGCCGTGAGTGCCTCCCTCGAAGGCTTGGGGACACCTTGCGCCAGGGCCGCTTCAGGCAACACCCGGTCCAGCAGCGCGGTGCGGGACCAGGTCCGCAATTTGGTATCGAAGACCATGCAGGTCACGGAGGCGAGGGCGCGGTCGTCCGCCGAGGCGGAACGGTCGAGGACGCTGGACAGCTTACGAGCGGCGCAGCAGGAGCTGCAGGCCACGCAGCTGGAGCTCCAGGCCACCGAGCGCAACCGCGCCGAGTTAGCGGTCTTGCTGGAGGCGACGATCGCCTCCTCGCAGGCTGCCCATGGTGGAGCGGCGCAGCTGGAGCGCAGCCACTGGGCTGCCATGAGGATCCAGGCGCGGTGGCGGATGTACCGCGCGCGGCTGCGGCAGCACGGCCTGTGGCGCGGGGCGCACGACCCCTACGACGCGATCGTGTGTTTCGACTCGCTGTCGTCCACGATAGACGCGGACAATCTCAAGATCAGCATCTTGAAGTGGGCGCATTCTGCATTCGAGATCGATAAGGCCCAGATGGAGGGGATCCGCATCGTGGCGCATATGGGCTTGTTCGACAAGGGGAAAACATTTTTGATCAACCAGGTGTACGGCAAGAATCTGCCGTCTGGCAAGTTGCACGAGACGTCAGGCTTAAGCATAGTCTACGTTCCGAAGTTGCGTTTCCTGGTCATCGACACCAAAGGACTGCAGGCGCCGGTATCTTACAAGAAGAGGGGCGTCAGGCAGTTGGTGGACGCGAGCCAGACAGAGGTATTCATGTTCGAGTTGGTGTCACGAATCGCCCACTACATTGTCTTCGTTGTAAACGACTTCACCTGGCCCGAGCAGAGGCACGTGGTGCAGCTTCACCAGAAGTACGTGCAGTCCAAGCGGGAGAACCAGCTCATCGTGCTGCACAATTTGCGGACAACGAGGAGCGTCCGCGAGGCGACCGAGCTGTTCTACAAGCAGGTCGCCTCCAAGTACGAGGGCGTGGACAGAGGCGAGCTGGGAGGCCTGATCTTCACCGTGGACGAGTCCCCCCGCATCCACCACATAGGACTCGCGGAGCAGGGCTCCCCCGCGGGCAACAGGTTCAATCAGAAGAACAAGGCCCACCTGCTGCAGCTCCTGGACCAGCTGGAAGGCATCGGCGAGCGTTCCAGGTCCCTCGCAAGCCTCCTCCAGGAGCACTTCGCCCAGCTGCTGCCCGAGTTCATATACCTCGAGTCCTCCACGGGCGAGCGGCAGGACGGCTCTGGGCTGGTGGTGCGGATTCAGTTGGAGGAGGCCTCCTCGGCCGCGGGGGTGGGCCTCAGCGGCCGCCCGGAGCCCGACGCGGAGCGCGACCCGACGCTGTACAGGTCGGTGGGCATGCTGACGCTGCAGGTCCCGGACGACCACGTCGTCCACATGAAGACCGAGGGGGTGTTCGGGGGGCGGCAAAGAGGGGGGTGATGACTAGGGGGGGTAGATATCATGGCGCGGGCCATGATATTTCCCCAGATTTCATGGCGCCTCTTCTTATTTCAGTACGTCCCTGGCCCCTCCCCTTGGCCCGCGCACATGCTGGCCATGATTTGCGCCCCCCCTCTTGGACGCCCCCCTCTCAACCGCCCCCGAGGTGTTCTCGGAGTTTTGCGAGCTGGTCGCGCAGGACGTTACCTTCAAGCCACCACCGCCCAACTTCTACGAGCAGCGCCTGAAGGACAAGCTGGTCCGGGTGGTCGAGTTCGAGGTGCCTGGTGTCTGGAGGAAGAACATCAAGTTCCGCAAGGGCAACCGCGGCTATTCTGTCAGTATGGTCAGGGCCAAGGACGAGTCGCTCGGCGGCTTCGGCGTGTGCAGCAGGTTCCAGGCACCGCGCATCCCGACCGGCGAGTTCGTCTTCGACCTGTTCTTCGACGACGGCATCTGGGACCTCGACGGCGGCCGAGAGGCCGTCACTCACGAGAACGGAATGTTGCGCGTCCGGCTGAAGCAGGACCTGCAAGGCGAGATCTTCTCTTTGGACGACCTTTGAGGTGATATCCGGGTTGACCCAACAGGGGGTCTAGCGACAAGGCAGTGGTGCAATAGATTTGGTGCAATAGATTCGCGGGGTTGCAATACATCTGAGGCGTGCAATACATTCCGGGGCGCAGAAGTATTATTGGATTTTCGCGTGCAGCGCATCACTTGCAATACAAAGCAATACAGTTCTCCAGCCCCAAATCTATTGTACCATCCCCTTTCAGCTGGACCCCCTTTTGGGTCACCCAAAGAGATGTTCTGGCTTGACGACCGCTGAGGCGGCGCACGGATTCGGAGCGGTCGCCAGCCACCGCGAGCGCAGTTGGACGTCACATCTGGGTCTCTGCGCCGTCCCGGAGGGAGGCGCGAGGCGCGGGAAGGATGACGAGGAGGAGGAAGAGGAGGAGGAGGAGGAGGAGGAGGAGGAGGAGGAGGAGGAGGAGGAGGAGGATACGACACGATACAGTACAGTGCGACATCGTTGGCAGCAATGAATCCCTGTCCACTCCAGCCGCAAGGAGAGGCTCAGCCAAAAACCATTATCTGCCGATGTAGCTCACATGAGCCGGTGAAGCGCCCGCACAGACCGCAGTCCCGTGACGATGGGGATCGGGCCTGCTGGCGCCGAGGTCCGTGGAGGGCCCACTCTCGGGCCAGATAGCACGCATCTACAGTACCCATAGGTCGTTGAAAGTAGATATTTGTGGATTCCCAGATTCCAATCTGCTTGAAGCGCCTTCCCACTTCAATGATCGAGTGGCTTCGCCGTTTCCGTCCTCTTTCGGGGGCGTGCGGACACACAATATATTTTCAACGCTTTCCTACTTCATGTTTCTACCTACTTGTTCCGACCGATGGGTAGATCTCAAGCAGTGGCGAAGCATCCTGGCTTGCCTATATGCCCACCAAAGAATGCTCTAAGAACCTTTGATGGTCTGCACGACATGTTCCAATCATAATAATGGCTGAGACTGTCTTGTTTCCCCACGTCGGCTCTATGCTCTAAGAACGTTGTTTCTGCTCTCAGAACATATATTGGGGTTATATGAACATTTCGTGGTAGGCCTATGAGAATGCGGGGACAGCCGGCCCCTGCTCAAAGATCACTTCTGCCTCCCCTTCCGCTCTCCCGCGGCACGACCTGCGCCCCCTCCCGATCCCCCAACAGAACGATGGAGCCAGGCGCCGGGCTCGAGGCGGCCGTCTCTCGGAAGCTCAGCCATGCGCTTACGTCGGGCGTGTCCCTCTCCAGGAGGAATATTCAACAATAGTCAAAAAATCGTCAGGCGCCGATGTTTCGTCTATGTTTGACAATTTGGGGTATTCTTTGACAAGTTGGTTTTTGGCTAAGGAGGACTATTTGTTTTTGTTTTCAAAATCCGCTTGTAGGAGGACATGCCCGACCTAACCATACGCACCGAGAAAAATCTAGCCTCCGAGCCAGCCTCAAAATTCCAGCATCCGGCTGAAAACCCCACGGCTCAAAGCTTCCATTGCCAGACTCTTGGGAACCCCGAGTCAAAAAAAAGGCCTCAGACCTAGAAAAACCTCGATCCCTCCTCACACTGGCAGGCGGCCGTCCTACTTCAGCTTCTCGAGAAGCTTGGCAGCCTCCCTGCCCGGTGGGCCCCTCGGCTGCGGACCCACTTTGCGGACGCCACCCGTCGTCGTCAACGCGCTCAGCACAGCCGCCTCGAGCTTGTGCCACTCCGTCGAGGAGCACACCGTCGCCCTCACGAACTCGGTGCTGTTCTCCTTCTTTTCTGTGGGGTGGCACCTGCAGTGACGGATCATCTCTGCCACCTCCTCCAAAGATTTCATGATGATTTCGTCCCAGAATTGCTTGATGTCGTCTCGATGGTGCTCTTTGAGGTCTTCTACTCCGTGGGCCGCCTGCACCATGGCCTTGAGCACGTGCGGGAAGGGTAGCCCGAGAATCACATCGTGGTTGGAGCCCTTGGTGGAATTGACATGCCTGTGGTACTCGACTCCTGCTGCCACCAGGGCCTTTGCGATTACCGACCCGCGTGGAACCACACCAGTATGATATACTGCTGCGGTCAGATCTCTTAACTCTGCCAACAATGCCAAGGCCACCAGCACCTGCACCAATCCTTCGAGCTGCTGCTGGCAGCCGCCTCCCTCTCCCGCCACGTCCTCGATCAGCCGTCCACGGCGGTTCCTTGGAGAGCCCACATGGCCTCGGACAGCGCCGTGAGTATGAGGTGGCACTTGGGTGATGAGGTGATCGTGAATCCACGATAGATCTTGAGCAACAGAAAACACAGCGTACATCTCAGAGAAGCAGGCTCCACCACTGATCCCAGGAAAAACGAATCCGAGCAAATACACGAGGACGTGCCAACTGTGAAATAACGTGTCCGTAAGCCGTAGACCTGGCCCCGACCATCTCTTTGCAATAAGGACACTGATTAGTAGCCACAGATTCTTGATATCTAGATTCGTTATCCGATGATGTGTCTGCACATGCGTGCACAGCTGTCGATGTGTATAAAAGGCCGCCTCACACCTCTCCCCCACCTCCGTCTTCATGAAGCAATTCCAGTTATCCTCCCATTCCTTCTCCTCCAGCCCAGTACGATCTTGTCTCTGCGCGGGCCTAAGTACACCTATACTCCTCAGTAGTGACACATCAACGCGCGGAAAAGCTTCTTGAGGTTCAGGATCCAGAAACACCCATCCCTCCCCTCTGTCATACTTATCTCTGAGCTCTTCAAGAAGCCACCGGGCATCCTCTAGGGGTTCCATGGCTTCCAGGTCCTCCAGGATTCGTCTGGCCCACGGACTAGCTTCAGAAAGAAGTCGCCTTTGCTGATCCATCGTGGCTTCAGGTTCTCAATGTATGTAACCGTCCGAAGTGTGCCGTCCACCGTTGAGCAGGCCTTCCTGGATCCCTAGGAATAGCTTATAATATACGTAGCCGCCGTACTCTGAGCTCCACTTCCAGAGAAGGCAGTCGCCCGAACTTACGAACCTCATCGTTAGAGGGAGCTGTGTGCTTGCCTGCCTCCTCCATGTGAGCCCTCCCCCATCGTAGCCCTTTGTGTAATGCCGACCACTAGCGCCTGCAGCGAGCGTAACTGCACCTTTCGACGGAAAGAACACCTCCATGCAGTGCGTGACCGTCGACACCACATGCGACAGCAAGAGCATTCGCTTAAGACGATAAGGTGCTCTGGGAAGAAACCAAAGCTGCCTCAGGGAGTGAAAGGCTCGAATCGTAGCTGTTCTTCTTGCTTTTAGCGCCGCTCCACACACACACACGAGTCAGCCTGGAGTCCCCCACAAACTGCGCCCCCGAGTACCGAGCTTGCTGAACCACTTTGCCACGAAAAAACAACCCTCCCCTCCTTGATCGCCGAGTAGCCTTTATGTGAGCCTTCACCCACCAAGTACAGCAGCGATACTTGCTTAGAAACATTCTGCGCACAGCCGTCAGCTCCAAGTGCAACTGCGAGCAACTCAGGGGCACGCTGCGCTTTCTCGACAAGCTCCGACAGCGAGTCTGAGGTCAAGGCAACGTGCAGTCTTAAAAAGGTCGTCGGCATACCGACAGCTGGCCAGATCCGCTGTTCCTTCTCCTTCCACTTCGACTGGATCCTGACCGATCTTGGCCTCACGCCGCCGCTCAGCGGCGGCGACCTTTGCCTCCCTGTGCCCCGCCAGGGCCGCAGGGGGATGTCCGTCGCCGCGGTGCGGCTGCTCGAGTCGGAGCAGGGCAGGCACCGCCTCACTTTCGGCCGCTCCCCGCCGATCCCGAAGCTGATAGAGCAGGCCCAGCACGCACTGGACCGGTCACCTTTACGCTGCCCCGTATCACCCGCTCCCTCGACCAGGGAATGCATTTGTCCCCCATCAGCACAAGCGACAGCAGTCGTTGCACGGTCCACTCGCTGCTTGGCCTGCGCCTGTACAGCGACATCATACACAAGTCGGCACACGCCTCTCGCAATCGGTTCTGTGCAATGCTTCCAGAAGCGCTGGTGACATAAAAAACTGTTGAGCTACCGAGAGCCCTTGTTGAGCAGCCCGCCAGGCCAGTATATTAGCCACAAGCATCGGAGGTTCCTTCAATCGTCCATTCTCAGATCCACGAGCATCATCTTAATCTAGATCGTTTCATCATACTCCCATACCAAGCTTTCCCAAACGCCAGTAGCAAGCGAATCCACCTGTTACCTTTGGGTCCCTCCTCCTCCTCCGATTTCTTTGAGTCCCGCCGTTTTGAGACAGTGCCAGTAGGAAGGAGTGCGTCCGCTCGTCCTTGTCCTCCAGCATCCTACAAAGACAGCTCGAGTGAAAGAAACAGTCGGTCTCGCAGTCGCAGGCGCTCCCACCCCGGTTGTTCTCTGCTGTGGTTAAACTCGTATGCCTATCCCGTATGTAGTTTAATCGGCGCAGACCAGGGCGGAGGGCAGCGTCTCTTCTGACGTCGGCGAAGGTATTTTGAAATTGGGTAGACGTCCTCTGCCGTTGTCTCCTTGTCTCTCAAATCTAGACTCGTTTTGAATTCAGGTGCGAAAGCACTCGGCTCGAAATCTGGCGACACCCCTTTCAGCCGCCATGCCTCCAGCGACTCCTGCCGCCGACCAAAAAGCCACTTGGGTACGCCTATCAGGAAGAGCAGCGCGTGCTTCAAGAACATGCCGCTTCTTCGGGCCTGATCTAGTGCACGCCGCAGCACTTGCAGATCTCATAAGTTTGTGCAAGTCCCTAGCTTCCCAAGCATCATGCAAGGCCTCTAGGTGTTCTTCCATCCGAAGTTCCCAAGCTTTGTTTGAAGCCTTGTGATGTTCTCTGGTGACCTCCTTCTGATGCCCCCCTAGTCTCTCTCCCTCCTCATCACCATCCTCCTCCTCCTCCTCATCATCATCATCCCTGCAGTCCTGGAGCCCCATCCTCATGCCCTTCCTCTTCGCCAAGAGCCTGCCCCTGATACTCTCGAGCTCACGCGTCCCTGGAACCGCCGCCGAGTCGGAAACCAAAAATGTCCCCCCCTCCTCCAGAATTTTCTCCGGGTGCAGGAGTAGTGAGTCCGGCTCGGGCTGAGCCGCTAGGTTCTCCCAGACATCGCCCTCGTTAACCGGTCTAAGCTCAACGGAATCCAGGAGAGCTCTCTGCAGAGGCCCCCCTGGAAGCGCAGCCATCATCGCATCGTGGCTCAATCTTTTCGACCCGACCACCGGCGGAGTGGGGCCGACGACGCTAGATGGTTGTAGCTTCGAGGGGTCGCCCGACCTCCACTGGCACAGGGACGTGATCACGTCTGCGAGAAGCGTTCATCAGCTGCAGTTCACGCCCACTGCTGAGCATAGCACCCGCACGCAGCACAGCGTCTCCCAGGCTGGCAGGACGACAGGCGAAGTCCACGTGCGAAGAGGATGTCAGCCCGCAGTCGGCGTCCGAGTCTGAGCGCGCCGACGCAGCCTCCAAGAAGTGGTCCTTCAGCAGGCTGCGCACCGCGGACCCCCGGGTAGCGTTCTCCTCAGAGGCCCCCGCAGCAGGGACAGTGTCACCTTCCACTATCCGGGGATTCCCAGCATTCTTGCCCGCGCCATCGTTCAGGTCCAGCATCAACACAGGTACGGATCGTGAAGGACACGCCGGAAGCTCATGTTGTAGCCATTTAAGCAGTTGATCAACCGTTCGTCTGTAAGCTTCTTGTTTCGCCATCTCCGTTGTTCTCGACATGAAATAGGCCAGCATGAAGGTGATGTCCTCCATTACTGTCCGAACACGCACCGCCAAGCATTTGCCAGCCAGCGCCACAGGTCCAGATCTGACAGCTCTGATGTGCGTGTCCTTGAACCTCTTGTGCAGCAGGAGGCTCACTCCGCAAGTCTTGTTGGAGAAGGGCCTCCTCCCCCAGCCTCTGTCTATCACAGTGCGGCCCAGGACCTGCCTTCTCTGAACCGCCAGATCCTTCATGCGAGGCTGTGTCCCAATGAGGCCCACCGCGTCGACTCCCCTGAACGTTGAAGCTATGTCCTCGAGTCGTGCCTAACTGCTCGCCGCCAGCGGATTGAACTGAACGAATGTCCACTTCTGCCACTCCGTGTGCTCTGGGCCTCCCCACGTGAACCAGCAAATTACTGCAGCGAGCAGGGGGGGGACACATCCGCGGAGGCCTCTAAACAAGGTAGGCTGTTCTGTGCCCGTCGCTCGGCGAGCGTGCTGGACGTAGTGTGAGTAACACCTGCACGGGGCGCCTGCCGCCCGCACATCTTGAAGCCAAAACGGCGACTAGGAGGAGGAGGAGGAGGAGGAGGAGGAGGAGGAGGAGGAGGAGGAGGAGGAGGAGGAGGGAGAGGGAGGAAGATGGGTGAAGTGATATTCTCGCGCGATCGCTTTATAAGTTGCATCTGGATTGCCTTGTCTAGCTTTTTAGAAAGTTGGGTGGAGGTGCGCGCCCGAAATTCGGGAACGCCGGCGTGGCAGTACTAGCGGCTGCCTATGCGGGCAGTCCTGCCCTCAGTGAGGAGGTTACAGGCTTAATGCCTTGCACACATTGCCGACTTTGCTCGGGGGGCCGCCAGAGGTGTGTCTGTCCCACGGTGTCCCCTGGATGTTTCCAAGGAGGCCCCCGCTGCCTCCAGAGCGTCCCTCGCGAGGACCCCAGAGGACCCCAGAGTTTCGAAACCGAGCGACAGCCTGGGAACGCACTGGGCCAGGTTCCCGAGCATTTCCTTTGGGTGGAGGGCAAAGGGTGAAATCTGAAATGCCGTTTCGATTGATTTTCGAGGCTCGAATCTGCAAAAGGTGACTTCACAAGACGGATTGATTCTCGAAGTGCCAAAGCCCATGTGGATTTCACCCTGAGCCCTCCACCCTGAGACACTGCTCAGGGCTCACTTCATGGCAGACCCCCCCTGTGTTGTTCCTGTCTGCGTCGTCGTCCGGCGTCCCTCCCGCAGCCGCCACGGCCTGGCAGGCTCGCCGCGGGCCTGCCTGCCCGCCCAGCCGCTCTTCCTGCCGACGTGCCAGATATACGCGCGCGCGCCGAGGCGCCCTTGGTGCAGCGCGCGCACACCACGCCTCGAACGAACAAACATCGGGCGAAGCTGGCGGCTCCCCCTTGGGGTGCCGAAGTGGCAGGCATCCTGCATCGCCGTCATCATGAGGCTCTCGAAGCGCAGGGGCCGGGGGCGCCAGGAGAGGCGTGTCCTGAGGCACCCTCACAAAGTGGACGCAAGCGGTCACGTGTCATGCCCCCAGGCAGGTCTCCCTCGGGATGTCCAAGTGCCATTGCCTGCTACGCCGCGGTTGACATTGGGCTCCCAAATTGGAGGAGTCGGGAAAACCAGAACAAGCGGTTCGCTTAAGATGTCCCCACAATTTGGGCGCGAACAGGTAACTGTCGTACCCCTTGACGACCCACCCTTGAGATATACAAGTGGTATACATATCGCATCGCGCTGAGTACTGGGCGAATTCTCAACTCAAAACCCAACGAGCCGGGGAAGCCCAGATCAGCGCTTCCCGTGCGGCAGCCTGACAATCTGGCCGCCACGCACGGGCTTTGTGGTACACCTCCTGGCAGCTGCCTCTCGTGGTGCCCGAATGGTACGCCTGCTATTTCGCGGTGGCCACAGAGCTCTGAAAGAAGAGGAATCGGGGGCGCCAAAGCTAATCCCCACATGGTGGCCGCAAACGAGCAAGTGCCATATCCCCAGGTGATTCCCCATTGGAGTGCCCAAACGCCACGCCTACGATGTCTCCTGAGTGTGAGCGGGTCAGAGCGGGAGTGAATGTTTGTAAGAGTGAGTCTGAGGTTGGGTGAGCCTGAGTGTTGAGCGAGTGTGGATGGAAGATTCTTTGACTATGCATAACTACGTGTGAAAGTGTCTGTGTAATGGAGTTTGAGTGTGAGGGAATATGCGCACGAGTGAGTCTGACTAAGGGTGAGTCTGAATATGACGAGTCTGAGAGGAACACTCAGTCTGAGTGAGTCTGAGTGTCAGGAGTCTAAGTGTGCGCATTTGAGTGTGAGTGGGCCTGAACGAGTGAGTCTGAGTACGGGCAGGGCGTGAGCTGGGAGGGAGGGGATGGGTGAGTGTGTGAAGGAAGCGGGGGCGTCACAACAACCACGAGAACCCCACACTCGGGATATGGAGAGCGAGAACCACATACATAGGATATGGGAAAATACACATGCCGCAGGACAGGACCGCTGGGCCTGCGCAGATTCAGCATCCTCCGCTCGCACGTCGTACCGTCTCAGTAGGCACGTCAAAGAGGAAGCTAGCTTGCCAGCAGATGCCCCGCTGGAGGTTGTTTCCCCCGGTGGCCCTGGGGGATACACAGAAGCCGTGGGGCACCGCAGGAAGCCCAATCTTGACGACAAACGCACCCCTAGATTTCTTGTAGTAAGATTTCTTATCGCGCATCGGCTTTCAGTGCTGAATAATACCAGATATCAGATCAAGCATATGATGGTACGTGTCTACTGTGTCGAGGACGCTTTCGGCGAGCTCCCCCCACCCGCCGCCGTTCCAAAGTCGCCCGTCTCGCCAAGCGCTGGGCCAGCGCTTGGTCGGACGACTGGCGCGTGTGCTCCCTCAGCCCTTGCGGAAGAAAATTTGGGGAACACGTTCTATCATTTCTGTCGGTTGCGCCCCGACGGGGGAAGTGAGAGGCGGCAGGCCTTCTCGGAAAGCTGCGCGGGCGTCTGAGATGGTTTAGAAAGTCTCTGCTAAGGCCGTAGGCCGCGTGAGCATTCTGAGAAGGCCCGCCTCCCCTGCCTTCCCCATCCGACGCGCCGCCGAGTACTTCTCGAGTCCGAGACAAGGTCGCATTCTAATGGCAGTGGTGAGTGTCCATGGTCATGCAGGCGTCCAGTGAGAAGAGGAAGCGCAGTGCATGAACCAAGCGTTTCTTGAGCCTGCAACTGCGGACAAGGCAACGGCTGATTGTACGGGAGATGCCCGTGAGCATTTCGGAGAGGGCAAGTATGTACGCCGCACTTGCTCCAACCATGTATTTCATCGGCCCGAGGCTCCGCCAACGGAGCATCACACATGCCACCATAATATCATGCAAGATGTTACAGTACAGAGTCTCGGGGTTGTTGCAGGAAGCGCTCCATCATATCATTATCTGGTCGCCCCCTCGGCGTATCTGTTCAAGCATCGCTGTGCACGGTGCGGCTAGAAGCAGTTATGAAATGGTGCAGCCACAGACGTCACGATTGTATGTGTTGCGGCGGTGCAGCCAGAAGCTACGAAGCAAAGAAAACCGCAATGCCTCTTGGGCCTCTTGCATCCATTACGTTTGGCGACCTCCTGCTCTGATTATCGAAGACGCCTGCGGCGAATCACCGTCGCCCCCTGCCTTTTTGGAAGTGCCTATGTGGCCGAACGTTGAGGCCAGACCTGCCAAGCTATCGGACCATGTGTTCCCCGAATCGGTTTGGAAAGCTTTCGGGGAACACGTGGGCATCTTGAAGGTCATCTTGGCCGCCTGGAGGCCAGTTTGACCCTTTCGGGCCTTCTTGGAGGACGTCTCGGATGGCCCGTGGGTCGTCTTGGGGGCCATCTTGAGCGTCTTGGAGGCCTCTTCGGCCGTCTTGGGGGCCTCTTGGGGCCGTCTTGGGCCTCTTGGGCGATCTTTGGGGGCACTTGGGCCGTCTCGGGTCGTCGGAAGGATGCCACAATCCTTCAAAAACTCATGGGAAATCAATGATTTGGGCGTTTCCGGGCCTCCCAAGAGGCCCGCTTGGAGGCCTCTTGGGCCGTCTTGGGCCATCTTAGTGCCATCGTCGGCCGTCTTGGTGGGCCCCTGGCCCGTCCGACGCCGTCGGAAGCCGTTTGGGGGGCCTCTCTGAGCCGATTTGGGGCCTTCTTGGAATGCTCCAGGGCAGTCTTGGAGGCCATCTTGGGCGTCTGAAAAGCCGCATGGGCCGTTTGAGGGGCCTCTTGGGGCCGTCTGGAGGGCCTCTTGGGCCGTCTTGGGCCATCTTGGAGGCCCTTGGGCAATCTTTAGGCGATCTTTGGGGGCTCTTGGGCCGTATCGGCCCGTCGGAAGGCCGAAACGAAGCAAATGTCAAAATCCTTCGAAAACCGATGGAAAATAAGTGTTTTTGGCCTTCTGCAAAATGGCCTTCCTCGAGGCCCTTTTGGAGGCCTCTTGGGCCGTCTTGGGCCAGCTTCGAGCCAACTTAGGCCATCTTCGTGGGCTCCTGGCCCGGCTGACGCCGTCGGAAGCCGTTTGGGGGGCCTTTCTGGGCCGACTTGGGGCTTTCTTAGGGTGCTTCAGGGCCGTCTTAGAGGCCATCTTGGGCGTCTTGGAAGCCTTTTGAATTGTTGTTGTGCCCTCTTGGGGCCGTCTTGGGGCTGTTTTGGGCAGTCCTGAGGCCATCTTGGAGGCCTCTTGGACGCTGGGGCGATCTTGGGGGTCTCTTGGGCCGTCTTGGGTCGTCGGAAAGCCAAGAAGAAGCGAACGCCACAATCCTTCGAAAACCTAAGGAAAATCAATGATTTTGGCCCTTGGAGCGTCTGGGAGGCCTCTTGGGGGCCTCTTGGGCCGTCTTAGGCCATCTTAAGACTATCTTAGGCCGTTTTGGGTGCGTCTTGGGCAGTCTTGGATGCATATTGGGGCCACCTTAGCCGTCTTGGAAGCCATCTTGGACCATCTTGGGGCCGTCTGGGGCAGGAAAGCCGTTGGCAACCACCTCCTTCCGGGACCCCGGCGGGACGCGCCGGAGCCCCAGGGCGAGTTCTTTTGGAAAAAGAACCAAGACCAAAACCGAAATCGTCTAGCACCCCAGGCACCCCTGCGATGAATCGAGAGGGGGCGGCGGATCCAGCTGCCTGCGGCAAGTCCCGCCACCGTGCCAGCCCTTCATTCTGGATGTCGATTGTTCGAGGTTCGAGGGGACAGCGAGGCCGTCACGTGTAACACTTCGTGCCCCCAGGCTTGGGGGAGCCGTGATGATGATGATGATGATGATGATGATGATGATGATGATGATGATGATGATGATGATGATGTTGACGTTGTGGGTGATGATGGTGATGATGATATTGATGATGGTGATGATGATAATGATGATGATGATGATGGTGATAATGATGATGGTGTTGGCGCTGATGCTGGTTACGATGCTGATGCTGATGCTGGTGCCTGTGTTGATGATGATGGTGATAATGGTGATGGTGATGGTGATGGTGATGGTGATGGTGATGGTGATGGTGATGGTGATGGTGATGGTGATGGTGATGGTGATGGTGATGGTGATGGTGATGGTGATGGTGATGGTGATGGTGATGGTGGTGGGTGATGGTGATGGTGAAGATGAAGATGACATTGGTGATGGTAAGGTTGTTATTGTTGTTGCTGATGACGGTGATGGTGATTGTGATGGTGATGGTGGTGATGATGGTGGTGATGGTGATGATGATGAGGAGGAGGAGGATGAAGATGAGGATGACGAGACAGTCTTGGGGTCCCTGGGGGGGCGTCTTGAGGCTATCTTGGGCGGTCTTGATGTCACAGTGGGCCGTCATGGAGCCATTTTGGGCCGCCTTGGAGGCATCTTGGTTTCGGGAGCGCAGATATCGCTGAATGTTACGGCGGGCTGTGGCTTCGGGAGCGCAAATATGTCGTATTGTGTTGGGTAGTTTGGCCTCGGGAGGGGGGCGCGTGCATGCGGCGAAGTGCGACTAGAGGGGGGTCCCTGAGACGATTTCAAAAACTCTACCAAGTAGCACTTGGCAGCCTAGCACGCCTCAACGTGCCAGGGGGCAGGGTGGCGGATGTGTCTTCTCTCGTGCGGCTTCTCAGGGTGCGAAAATAATCGCGTTGTAGTTTGTCTACCCCTCGCAGTTCACATGAATTCTGGGTTCTGCCCCCTACTCACCAGGCACTGCCCTGCAAGGGAAGGCGTAGGTGATTCCACGTGCGCACTTCAAGATGTAGTGTGCTGCAGCAGGGGGAACTCGGGGCTTCTGACCAGCGTTGCCTAGAAAGCATCACGGGGAGTTGAGCGGCGCACGTTGAACTCATAGTTGCGTTACGAGTTCAGATCAGAGGTTAGAGGTGATGGCTGTATAGGTGTGCGACCCCTATCCATCTACGTTGAACCCAAGCCGAGAGGAGTTACGAGGGATCTGTTCGCCTTCTAGCACGTAGCGCTCTTTCATCCGACATGAGTGCATGCGCTCGCGTGTGGATTCGGGTGCGTGTGTGCGCTTGCGGATTTGCACTTGAAGCCGCAGCTCCTCAAGGAGGTAGGCACGCTTGCCTCCGATTCAAGACAGACACCACGTCAGAGTCCCACGATTGGCGCATGAAGCAACGGTATGTTTGGCAACCAGCTGAACGCTGTCAACGTGGAGCGGAATTAAAGGCTTCAAGAGAGGAGGACAGCGTGCTGAGTTCTTTCAGTCAAGCAGTTGTGGCTCTTTTTTTCTTTGTGAGCATACCCTATGCGGCATTCTCTGGTCACAAGTGCCCGGAGCCTTGTCGTTATCTTGCTCCTTACCTCCCCACCCAGAAACGATGTCAAGCCGTGTTGTCGTGAGAACGAACATTGGTGAGCAAATGTGAATGGGAGGGGGCATTGCATTACCATACCAAGTTGTCTTGTTTGGAAGCGATCCCCGTTGAGGATTCGTTGTGCGTGTCTTCCATGCTGATAGCGTGTCCTTCAAGATGAGCACGGCCACTGCGGCCTGGTTGGCCCGTTGTGTTTGTGCTGGTGTTACGCAACAGTGTGTTTTACGAAGAGTTGAGCAGATCGCGTCAAACGTTGTGTATCTTTGTTCGCCGAGTGGCAGATCAAAGCTGTATCGGCCAGGTTGTTTCGTCCTTGTAGTGTCTGCGGACTTGCTTGTTCGTACAAAGGTATGGCAAAGTAGTGTCGCATCTCACGATCGCCAGTCACGTGTGTGACGCTTTCGCATATGAAGGTGCGCGTGTGTGCTCGGCATGAGATTCGTCTGCCAGTGTGCAGTTTCGGTACGATATACCCTGTGTACATGGTTATTTTTGTTATGGCGTTGTGTTCATGTGTTGGTTCCCGTGTGATGTGACCGTGCACCGTTTTCGTCTGCCAGCGTTCTGCCAGTCTCGTGTGCTAAATTTCTTGTGTGCCGTGTTCGGGGGGGGGCCATGCGCCTTGCCGCTCTCGTCCGTCCATGGAGTGTCTCTCGGGTTGGAATGCGCAGGTGGGTGCTCTGGGTTTGGTGTCGGTACTGCAGGGGTGTTCCTTCGCGGATCGGAGCGCTGTCTCTCTTGGAGCGAATGCGGCCCGTCAGACATGATGGGAAGTGCAAGACGCGTACGGCACGGACCAGCGCCCGGCTGCCCTCCCCGAGGACGCAGCCTTGGCGGCGCTGCTCCAGTCCGTGCTCGACGCGCCGCCAGCAGAGCAGGACAGCATTCTCAGACGATTCTGTCTCGCGCGCGGTGGGGCCCCTTGCACTGGAAGTCCAAGAGGGGTGTGGAGACGGGGGGCGTCTTTCTCCTACTCCTCGCCGGATTTGCGTCTGATCTCTGCTGGCCATTCCCCGACGCCCTCTCGAGGGGGCTTTCCCGGGCCCCGGGTGGAGGGTTTCTCCAAAGGGCTTAGGCGA